AGAGAGAGAGAGAGAGAGAGAGAGAGAGAGAGAGAGAGACTATACAACACTTCTCTAGTATGGAACAATATCATTTCTATAGATTTTCGAAAATATCAAAAGTAAAACTGAAATAGGACATGGAGTACTAGATGATGCAGCATAAAAACCTATGTGAATACATTCTATGAATTAGAAGAAAGCCTTTATATTAAAAAACAATGGAATAAAAAATTAGGAAAGGAATCAGTAAGCAATATTTGGCAGCACACACATAAACAAGTGTACACACACAAATGCATGTACACTAGGACTATGTATAAAATTATAGCTACATACCAGTATAGTAGAAAATCTTGAAATATTTTAAATATGACAATAATAATCCTGAGGTAACACTAAGGTAGAGGAGCTGAGAGGTTAAAAAAGTTCTAATGTTGAATCATTTAGGTCTATCATGATGCCCTGCCAGGACCAATATTTTGCTTTTTCTAAGAAGTTGTAAGATAGGTAATATATGCAAAATCCACTGGAAATGTTGAAAACTTCATTTTTAAAGGATTATTTTTAAGGCAATATTGCTCTTTAAAGGAATGTTAATGGCTTAAAAATTAATGCTTTTTGAAAGTTAAGAATTTTATCTTTTTGGAATTTTGAAGTAACTTGAATTTGAATAATTTTAATGTTTAAAATAACCACAAACCTATGATTTTACATTAACATTTATTTGCACTAACTGACCTAAACAATAAGGGCTTCAACGAAGTAAGTGCAGATGAAGTGCTTGGTCACTGCAAATAAAGTCTTGTCAGGGAACTGTCCTCATTCCTGAACCTTCTCCTTACACTTTCTTAACTCTTCCATGCTTGTCTACTAATTTCCCCCACCTGGAGGCAGGATGCTATGTAAGGAACTGGGTTTAGGATCAAAGAGTCCACCTTTCCTTTCTGAGTTCTGCTTGTTACTGCCTCTTCCTTGAAACTTTGTTTTCTCATCAGAAAGAACAAAGATAGTGTCTATCTAAGAACTGTAGTGAAAATAAAATGAGATAATATGCAGGATTTTCTTACTTTAGTGCCTAACATATAATAAATATTCAGTAAATGCTTATTATTTTCTCTGTTTCTCCTTTGGGCTTGCATTTTCACTCATTTACTTTTCATAGAGTGTTGAGTGTGTATTTATTCATTCACACAATGCATTCTAAATGTTCATCATGCTTGCTAAACATTAAAAGCACAGTGGAAAGTAGCATATTACCTAAAAGAACAAACATAAATTAAGTGATGGATTACATAATGAGAATTAACTTAGAATAAACATTCACTACAAAAGTACTTAAGTGATAAGAATTGAGTATATATGGTAGAAGATGGGAAGGTTGATTTCTATCAGAAACCATATGGCTGGAGTCTGTTGAGACATGAGATAAATCTCTTGTACTAGATATGAAGTGCCATAGAGGAGTATGTTCAATAGATTCTACTCTTGAGTTTCTTTAACACCTCCCTCCCTGAAAAGAAAAGAAGGGATCAGATAGAAAAAGAAAAACGTTCTAAAGACAATCTAAAGGACAACAGAACAATAAAATAATTTGAATTGTATAATTTATAATGTTGATAAAAATCTGAAAAGCAATTATATTAATCAGTGAAACACACATATGTGAATTTATTATAAGCCAATTACTTTACATTTAGCTTGGTGCTTAGGATACAGGCATGAAGAAGACATCATTTATATCTGCACAAAGACCATGGATTTTCATTTTAATCATAGAGACAAAAATCAAATAAATGAGGGATTGCAGAATCACGTACCTACAAAAAACAAAGTGTGTGAATCATTTTAGGTTTTTAAATAAATGCATAAAATATTATCCCTTTTGCAAAAATTGCTCCCTCATTTATACTGAAGTATATAATTTTGTGATCTCTGACTTTTTATATAAATATGATTATAGGAAATAATTTCTCAAAAATAAAACTGTTCCCATTGAGAAATGGTCATGTACACTTGAACATGCTCTTGATGTCAATGAGATTACTGAGGTAGAGATGATGATAAACTAAAATTATCATACTTTATCTAAAGCAGATAAGTCTACCCAGAAATCCTTAACTAGGTTAAGGTCTAGGTTCAAATTTCTAAATTTATTTTATATTTTTAAGGTAAGATATATATCTGGCTAGGAACAGTGGCAAAGGCCTTTAATCCCAGCAACTAGGGAGGCTGAGGCAGGAGTTCAAAGCCAGCCTCAGCAACTTAGCAAGACCCTAAACAAATTAGCAAATTAGCAAGACTCTGTCTCAATAAATAAATAAATAAAAGAATAAATAAATAAAAGATTTTAAAAAGGGGGCTGGGCTCAGTGGTTAAGCATCCCTAGATTCAATCCAAATAAATAAATAGATAGATAGATAAATAAATAAATAAATAAATAAATAAATAAAATCTAGATTTTTAATATGCAAAGGCTACAATGGAAGTTTCAATTCAAATATAGCAAATATTTAAATAAATAAAAATAAAATTAAAAATTCAATACTATGTCTGTGGTGGAATCATCCTTCAGTTTCCTAGTGTTTGATCCTATGTTAAAGGAATTATAACACAAAATAAAAGCAGGAAGGACAGCTCTATGGAACTACAGAAAGTCTGAAAGAACAGAAAGAACACTGAAACAAACTCTCCCTAAATTGTCCATGAAAGTTAGATCAGAAATAAAGAAAATATTCTAGATGGATAAATTTATGTAAAATCATAGAATTATTAATTTGGAGACCTTGAATTTTGCTGTGCTTATGTTTCTTGAAATGAAGACTTTTCAAGTGTATTTTATTTATCAGCATATGTTTTCTGAACTTATAGTACTTTAATCACCTGGTGTACTTGATAAAATTCATGTTCCCAGACATGGTTCCAGTAAATCAAATATTTTTCGTTGAATGTAGTAATCTGAATTTTTAAATAAATGCCTCTAATTAATTTTAATGAAAAATAAATGTTGAGCATTATACCAGTGAATTTACAGCAACCCAGGATCTTTCTTAGTGAGAAACCCTGAGCTGCACTTAAGAGTTATAGGAACCTCCAGGGACTAGAACTCATGAGATCTATATTTATAGCAAGTTTATCTAGATGATATTAATATGTGTTCAGATATATTAATACTATATTATATTGCTTTAAACTCTTTATAATTTTTATGCCCATTTTTACTACTAACACTTGAAATTTTGAAAACATCAGTTTTTTTAAATGGTATTTCAAGCCCTATAAAGAGCTATTCTTTAAACTTGTTTAAATCCAGCAGGAAATCAGAATTTTGTAAGCCATTATATTACATTGAGTCATATAAGTACATATAGTACATATAAGTCATTATAGTACATTCATATTTATAATAAATTTCATTGCCTCTTTAAAACATGAATATTTGATAAAAATCATGAATGATCTAAGATTATAGCTGAGATTATTTCCAGTGAGATGGTCACTTAGCAAATCATGGATAAAATTTCAGATTTTTCAAGATGATATATTTAACAAGCTTTAATTACCTAACCTCTCTGGGACTCTTTCTTTGAATGATAGCCAAATCATATTTTAGAAATAGTCTTACTGAGGACTAATTAACTTAAGATAAAGAGAATATATACTTTCACTATATGTATGGAATATGACTACATCATAGGATCTCCCATACATAAGATTTTGTGACTTGGGTACTTGGATTTAAACTAAGTTTTTAAAAAAATAGGTAAGAAACCTATAGCACTGAGGAATAACAAAATCTATAACATTACTTGTCATGACTAAATAATATAAAGTAGACTGAACAGAAAAGACAGAGAATAAGAATAGGGAGGAGATGGGAGGTGCTGAGGAGTAGAAAAGCCATAGATCATCCAAATAAGCTTCTGAAATGAGTTTTTGGCCCAAATATACTTTCAGTTTTCAGGAGGTATCAGAAGGATAGTAGTTTTACATTTTATATATGTATGTCCCAGTTTAACATGATCTGAAGCCCAATTCTGAAGAATGTTATGAGGAGAGGTAATATATATTTTGCTATCTCTAATTTCTTACAAGCAAATTATGCATATTTCCTAAGCTCATGAATTGAGGTAGAAATGTATCTATCAAAATGACAAGATAGGCTTTTGTTTGGAGGAATGAACATACACATCCTTCCTTCCTAAAGGGATACTGGAGCCACAACAAAGTCCCCATCAAATTCTGCTCCTTCCTAATTTGATACATTTCCAATATACAGGCATTTTTGTGACTAATGAGTCTCGTGTTGGGATATGCATTGTGAGATAAAACCGAGGGGATGTTTTGAGTAAACTAATTCTTAACAATGATGAATAATTATGAAGCTATGATTCATCCTAGCTTGAATGATAAGAAAATGCAAGTAGCTTGCCTAACATAAAGTCTGCTACAGAGAACAACTCAACAAATGAGAGCTACTACTATTATGATTACTATTTCATTAGTCGTCTTTGAATAAATAGACACACTCTAACAACCTATATTTGTATTATCTAGTTGAACACGTGTGTCCACACTCTGTTGGAGACTGGGAGAAATAATGAAAGGTATACATTATCTATTTCTACCATCAGAATAAACGATTATGCTGAAATATCATTCTAAGAGTAAATGTTAGTGAAATTTTCAAAAAGACTATTTTGCCAACATAATCTTCTGTAAAGCAACTGTAAGGCTTTCCCGCCGCCACCCGCCCTCGCTGGCTCGCGCTCGCTGCTGCCCCCTTGCGTTCCCAGCCCGCTGCTGGCAGTTGGTTCTCTCTCATTAGTCAGCCATTGCCTCTGGAGATAATCTGTCCGGGTCTCTGACCTTGAGACTCATGGACAGGCGTTCTCTGAGGCCAGACTCGAGTCACTGTCTGAACTTTTCATCTGGGAAATTCAAGGTACTTTCTACAACTTCTGTCATATAGGCCACGCCTTCTGCAGAATATGTGTAAGCTATGGCTGCCATCAAGAAGAAGCTGGTGAGTGTTGGTGATGGAGCAAGTGGCAAGACATGCTTGCTCATAGTTTTCAGCAAGGACCAGTTCCCAGAAGTATACGTGCCCACAGTGTTTGAGAACTATGTGGCAGATATCGAAGTGGATGGAAAGCAGGTAGAGTTGGCTTTGTGGGACACAGCTGGGCAGGAAGCGTATGATCGCCTGAGACCCCTCTCCTACCCAGACACTGATGTTATACTGATGTGTTTCTCCATCGACAATCCTGACAGTTTAGACAACATCATAAAAAAATGGACCCCAGAAGTCAAGCATTTCTGTCCCAGTGTACCCATCCTCCTGGTTGGGAATAAGAATGATCTTCGGAATGATGAGCACACAAGGCAGAAGTTAGCCAAGATGAAGCAGGAGCCAGTGAAACCTGAAGAAGGCAAAGATATGGCTAATGGGATTGGCGCCTTTGGGTACATGGAGTGCTCAGCAAAGATTAAAGATGGAGTGAGGGCAGTTTTTGAAATGGCCACAAGAGCTGCTCTGCAACCCAGATGTTGGAAGAAAAAACCTAGGTGCCTTGTCTTGTGAAACCTTGCTGCAAGTACATCCCTCAAGCGATTCATTTTGAAGTGCATGATTAATCTTAGTGCATGATTACTGGCCTTTTTCATTTATCTATAATTTACCTAAGATTACAAACCAGAAGTCATCTTGCTACCATTTAGAAGACTTAAGATTACAAACCAGAAGTCATCTTGCTACCATTTATCTACTATTTAGAAGCCAACCATCATTATTAATGATGACCAACTTGCCTGACCTGCCAGGGTCCTTCTGACACTGCTCTAACAGCCCTCTCTTCACTCTACCTGACACACCAGGGCTAATTCAAGGAATTTTTAAACTTCTTGTTGCTTTCTAGAAAGAGAAATGGTAAATTGTTGTGAATTGGGCTATAGCTACTTTACAACTAACATGTCCTGCCTATCATCTGTCAGCTGCAAGGAACACTGGTGACTCATCATGTTGGAGCTTTACTCCTCAGCAGATTTCAATGGCAGTGCTCTGGGTGGGCATCCAGTTTTTTGAAAATGTACTCATCTGGAAAAACCCAAATCCAAGCAGCTGTAGCAGAGTGACAGTTATTCAGTTTCATGTTAGTTACCTTATAGTACTGTGTAATTAGTGCCACTTAATATATGTAACCAAAAATAAATATATTTATCCCAGAGTAGATGTCGTATTTTTTTTGTATAATTGGATTTCCTAATAATGATATTCTTCATCCACAGAAAAGTGTATTTTTTTTTTAAAGAAAGTGTATTTGGAAATAAATTCAGATGGAAATTTTTTTTTAAATATACACAAAGACACACAGAGATGGCTATTCATAAAGACGTAAGCAGCATACTCTTCTGTATGAAAATAAAAACATATCTATACCCCATGATGATATCAAAGTATGTTTTCATTAAATTATACATCCTTATTAAAAGGAATTTTTTCATATGAATTATTTCCTTTTTATTTTTGGTATATGCTCTTAATTATTATTCCTATTTTTTATTATGCAATGCTCCCTTTTACTTAGGAAAAAAAAAAACAAGAATTTATCTTCATTATTTATAGTTAAGAGCCTAGAAATAGTTCACATGTTATCCTACAGGCTTAATCTAACATAAAAAGTAGTTATGGTAACCATTGAAAACCAGTCCCCCAGCTGTGGGTACTGGGCCACACCTGTAACTTCAGCTGCTCTAGGGGCCAAGGCAGGAGAATCACAAGTTCTAGGCTAGCCTACACAACTTTGCAAGACACTGACTCAAAAAAAAAAAAAAAAAAAAAAAAGCCCTGGAGATGTATTTCAATAGAGCCCTTATTTGGCATGTGTGATGTACTGGGTTTAATTCCCAGTACTGGGAACAAAAACATGAGTCTCCCTACCCCCAATACTAAATGATGATACTAAAATGAGCCCTCCCTCTCAGAATCAATGCCTTTAAAGAGATTAATGATAGTACAACATCACCTTTCTTGGATAGCAGACTATGAAAATGCCTGTATCAGAGGTGTTTTTTACTTTTAAAAAGGGTTTTAAATGAGAGTTGATAATTCATTGTGTTTGTCAGAGGAAATAATGAGAAAACCAAGGATAATTTCTTAATGGCATCAAGATAATCTTGAAAGCTGAGGAAAGAATTTAATTCAGGTATTACATGTATTAAAACTGATGGGAAAATTTATTTTTTCCTTTCCTGTGTACTCTTGTATCAAATTGCTCATGCTTTAACTAAATTCTAAATTGGGAGTGGGCAAGAGTGGGGGCCAGGCAAGAGCCCCCAAACACCAAAAGTCAACTTATGATCGAAGTAAATGAGATGTAATTGCTTTGCAAAGTGACATTAAGACAAACACCTGCTTCCATTACTACTATAAATACACTTATACCTAATGATTATCATCATTATTAACAGATGACCACACCTAAGTTCTTAAACCTAAAAATTCTGGAAAATGCCAGAGAGTGGACCAAGTTTACAATATTGTTCTAGCTCATATTTGTACTTTTCTAAAGTTCTCAATTCTTTTCCTTCTAAAATTGTGACTGTTCTAAAGATAGGTTAGAAGGTATTGTCTAGGGCAGGAATTGGCAAACTATGGCCCACGGGATAAATCCAATTTATCATCTGATTTTTATAGAGCTGATAGGTTAAGAATGGATTTTATATTTTGCATAGTTGAAAAAGTACCAAGGAATAAGTATTTTTTGATTTATGAAAATTATGTACAATTTAAATTTCAATGTCCATGATCTTACACTTTTATATATTGTTGATGGTTTTCATGCTACAGTAGCAGAGCTAAGTATTTACAAAAGAGACCATCTGGCTCACAAAGCATTAAATATTTACCTTTTGGTCTTTACAGAAGCTCTTGGTGACAGTACCCTGAGTTAGGGCATTATTATGAATATAAATAGATTTTTCATATGCTGTGAGGAAAATCATACACATGGACCATAAAGAGTAATGTAAGTTATTTAGGCAAAGTTTGATGAAATGTTTTTCTTTTGTTTTACAGTCATATCACATTGGAAAAATCTGATACAATGAATGAATCATTGAAGATCTATCATGGATCTATCATGAAGTAGGAGTAGTGAAATAAATGAAACCGAGTCTAAATGAAGCATGGGGGGGGGGGGGGATGATCATGAAAACAAATTAAATGGGTTTGTTTCTGAAATTCAATTATTTCCACTCCTCACTGAAGGACAAGCATAATGAATGTGCCAGTGCATAGTCACAAGAAAACAATGCATCAGCATATTTAAAATTCTGAATGTCATCACTGTCTGCTTTCTTTTTGTGAAAGCTAGGTACAACATTTTATAACAGACGCCAATGAGGAACTAAGGCAAAACTGTTGTTAGAAGTATGTAATTACAATAATCATAAGAGGATGGTTTTATTTTCAAATTCTAATATTTAATATTTTCTACACTTTCTGTAAGATTATCTGGATTTTGCAAAAGAATTCTGTTTGCAAGGGCAATATGAACACCTTTTCCATATGTTCCCTCCATCATCCTCTCTACCCAGAGTGTGTGCATAAGACACTGTACCATACCCTCCAAAACCTGAAAAAAAATCTAATTCTGCTTATACTGAAAATGTAAGAGTTAAAATATTCACTATCCTATTAGTCAATAAAGACAAAATACATTCTTTCTTTGTAGGACACCAAAAGAGTAGGCTCTCAAATGTGTGTTCCCTAAGGTTTATTATGTAGATAGAGAAAATTATTTTCATTTAATATTGTACACTTACAGTGCATTTTAAGTAAGCCCTGTGGACATAAATCTGATTCACTCATAAAAGCTAAAATTGGTTGTAATTATTTGATTAACAAAAGCAACATGTATCTAAAATGTATTAATGCTAGGACTTTTATTTCAAGTAAACGAACATCTATTGATTAGTGACCTTCCAAACCTGTGTTAGTAGCAATAATTACTATAATTAATAAAATAAATCCCCTAGTGCATACTAAACAGTTTGATTTATTAAATATACTGATATCCACATACTCCTCCAAGATTATTTTGCCAGGAGCATTTACTTTATGTAATCCTGTAAATGTGTATGTTTATTATCTGTTGATTAAAAATGATCACATTTTAAAAGGAAAAGACAAATGTTATGGTGTGTGTGAACACCAAATTTACTAGAACTTCAAACTATATGAAATTTATAGGAGGTTCATTTTCCTGCATTCTCTAACTTTCCTATAACGGATATTTTAAGCAAATAACCCAGCCTTTTCTCTGCCTAGGAATACCCAGTCTCTTACTAATTTTCCCATATAAAAAATCTGAAAAGAAGATTACCTTTTTTCCCCCTTTTAAATAGTACAGTTCTCCAGCATTGGTTTTATATAATTTGTCATCTTTGTTCCTCAAATCACAAACTTCTCTGTACAATATCATCTTTTCTTAGCTGGAACCACAGATGAATAAACAAAGAATCACATAGAAAATATAATAAAAACTAAAACAGAGAGATGAAAAAAGATGCCTTCAAGAACAGGCAGTCAAGGACAGAAAAAATTAGATAAAGAGGAATGGATTGGCAATGTTGAATGTTTTAAGAAAAGGAAAACAAAAAAGGTCTTGTCTTTTTTGTTTGATTGTTTATATTATTTTTCTATTTTAAGTTTTTTATTTATGATTCATACAGAATAATTTCACATGTTCATAGGATATCTTGTGATATTTTAAACATGTATTATTATGTAATGATCATATCATGATAATTAGTGTATTTGTTACCTTAAACATTTAGCATTTCTTTGGGGTAAGAACATTCAGAATCCCCTTTTCTAGCTTTCTTAAAATATGTGATATCCCATTATTTGTTACAATCAGCATATGGCATATGCTGGTGTTCAGCATATGGTCTTCCTACTTAAAAGTAACTTTTATAAACAGTGACCAATCTCTGCTCATGCTCCTCTCCTTCCTGCCCTTCTCAGTCTCTGGTGACCATAATATAACATTTTATTTCTATAAGATCAACTTCTTGTATATTTCATAAATGAGATCAGGCAGTATTTGTCTTTCTTGACACAGTGTCCTCCAGTTTACAATCTATATTATCACAAATGACATGATTTCATTTTTAATAGCTAAAGAGTATCCCAGTGTACACAGATATGAATATATATATATATACATATATATATATACATATATATATATATATGTATATATATATATATGTGTGTGTGTGTGTGTACATGTATATGTGTATGTGTGTGTGTATAATTTTTTATTTATGCATTCATGTATTAATGGAAATTTAATTTGATACCATGTATTGGCTATCCTGAATAGTCCTTCAATAAACATGGGAATGCAGATCTTTCTTTAATTTCCTCTGGACATGTACCCAGAAACTAGACTGCTGGATTATATAGTAATTCTATTCTTAATTTTGTTTTAGGAAGGTCCATATTATTTTGTGTGATAGAAGCATTTTGTAGTAGTACTTTCTTCTCCAATCAACACTTATTATTTTTGTCTCATA